AATTAAATAAATAAATAAGTTATAGGTTGTAGTTAGAGGAATCCATATATCTATTAATCTATACGTACCTTAATCTAAAAACAAGAAAGAAGATATATAAATTACTAGATTAAGGATTTGAATTTGTGCAGAAGTCTTATTCTATTATGTCAAACAAAATGTGAAAAGTATGTTAATTAATTTATCAATCATTAATTTCAAAACCACTCATAATTGTTAATGTAAATATTATATGCATCTATAAACAAAAAGAGAGATTAGAACCCAACTAGTCAAATACTTAATTTGACTACAAATAAATTAATTACATCGTGATTCATATGAACCTATTAATATGCATAAAAATACTAATCTGACTTGCTTTAACTCCATTAAATTCTAGAAAAATGTTATCATTACAAAGACTTATACAAAGAAGACTACAAAGTGAAGAAAAAAATAAAGAAAAAACGGAAAAAGAGAAAGAAAGAGAGAGAGAGAGAGAAATCATAAAGATCAAGGATAGCAATCATCTTTGTATGCTCTCTTTGTATTTGTCTTTATAAGACTAACACTTTTCTAAATTCCAATATTAATATGGCCTTGATTGTTACACACAAAACAAACACAAACACATAAAATAACAGCATCTAGACCCAATTGATATATATAAAGAAGAAGAAATCAAATTAAATTTGACTACTATTAACAACAAAAATTAATCACAATTAGTTTTTAATTAGTCAAACTTAAAGCAATTAGTTTGTCTTTGTCTACCCACGAAAAACGACTTTAATTAATTTTTTCATGATGTAATACTCCGAATTTAGCAAACGTAATCATTTATTTTTGAAGTTTTTGACATGGTCATGGTCTATGGTCAAATTGATTTTTATTTCTTAGTTCTAATTAAGCCCATGTGATTTAACAGCTAGCTGAACTACTTCTCTATTTATAAAAAAAAAAATACATAAATGAAGCATATAATATTTACAAGTCGAAGAAGGTAGAGCTATAATCTTTAATTCTGAGATATGTATACAGTACAACATGACATTATCTATTTAATAATTGTACAGATATTTAAAAGCTGTATAAGATTCCAAACCCTTCAAAATTTTATAGATTAAAATAAAAGATCGTATGTTATAGTTAATAATATAATTGACGATATATCTAGAGATAGTTAGATAGCCAAAGGAGCCCTACAAATAATGCCTTTTAGAAGTTATTAATAAAGTTAGGGTTTCTTCTATAGTCTTTTAATACCTCTGAATTAGGTGGAATTCCGTAAGGTATTGGACCCATTCCTTCCTACCAATAAATATTGGCTCAAATTCATGTATAATATAGTAATTCTTTTTTTTTTTTTTTTTTTTTAAGGAGGGATTTGAGTACAATTTGAGAAAAAATCAACTTTGTGAATAGGTTTAGCTTAACCTCACTGTAAAATTGTATGTGAGAGTTTAGTATATTATAGCTGTTATTTAATACAATTTTGAGATCAATTTTGATTGACTAGAAAATTACGAATAATTTTTCTTAGGGATTTGAATAATCAAATTGTGGCAGATGTACAAGTATTCAGGACTTAGGTTAGGGTTACATTTGAGTAATTATTCTTGTATTATACATGGTTTTAATATTTCTACTGGATTAGTTACGTCTTATGGATGTAAATAAATTTAATCGAACCGTGTAAATTATGGTATTTGTGTGCGATAGTTTTCTTTTATTATTATTATTATTTTTGTTAATTTTATCATGTCTGATCAATCCAATAGTTTTACTTCTAACTCTACCAAAATCTTGAAAGAGCAGGAGAAAGTATTGACCATAGAAAAAGCTGATTAAAGAAGGTGGTCAAGTGGGAAATTATAAACGAGTAATAGGTAAATATGTGTTGGCAATATCCTACGTTATACTAGTTTAATTTTGACAAAATGGGAGGAATAGGAAATGTGGTGAAGCCTGTATGGGAAGAGAAACAAATGCTTTTTGTTATTCAAAGAAGCATTTAAACGTGCTTAGGTATCAGATCATGTAATCTTTCATCCATGGAAAAAGACTTTTGAAGTGAAATTTTAAATTCTAAAAAATTTGTATTTTAGGTTGGGGTTTTTGGCATTATGTATATTTGGTAGCTAGCAGACAACACAGAGCGAACTTTCGTGAAGTTAAAACTTAAAAGCGAAAACCTAGAATAATAGTAGGATATCTCGATTGACCAAGGGGAACGAAACCACATGATCCACATGCATTTTAAATATTCATACTCATGTTTTATATATTTACAAGATAACGTTGAGAACATCAATTCATCCTCCATTTTTATTAATTTATTTATCATTTCTCCCTCTTTCTGCTCTCACTACCACTTCAATGGCCGCCTTTTCTCCCTCCAACATTCCTCTTCAACACCAGTCACACCACATTCTCCGCCCGGAAAAATGCTTTCTTTCACCACTTTCATCTCAGTCCAGTCCCTCCAATTCCATAAACTTTGCAAAAAAAAACCCTTTCGTGTCTCGAGTCATGTCAGAGACTAACGAGTCTTTGATCGCCGCCATCACCGAACTGGGAAAGAGAAGACAAACGAAAGACGAACAAACAGTTGAAGAAAACTCTGGAAACGACAGTGAAGAGAGAAAACTAGCTGAAGTATGGCGAGAAATCCACGGTCAAGACGACTGGGTGGGCATGCTCGATCCGATGGACCCGCTTCTGAGATCCGAACTCATCCGGTACGGTGAGATGGCGCAAGCTTGCTACGACGGTTTCGACTTCGACCCGTTTTCGAAGTACTGTGGAAGCTGTCGATTCATGCATCGTAATTTCTTCTCCTCTCTGGGCATGGAACATCACGGCTACGATGTGTTTCGTTATCTCTACGCGACCTCCAACATAAACCTCCCGAATTTCTTCAAAAAATCTCGGTGGCCGAAAGTCTGGAGCAAGAACGCCAACTGGATTGGATACGTCGCCGTTTCGAACGACGAAACCACCAAGAGGTTAGGCCGCCGTGACATAACCATTGCATGGAGGGGCACCGTGACTCGCCTCGAGTGGATTGCCGATTTAATGGACTTCCTCAAGCCCATTTCCAACAACAAAATCCCGTGTCCGGATCACACCGTGAAAGTCGAATCCGGGTTCTTGGATCTATATACTGATAAAGATGTCAACTGCCGGTTCTGTAAATTCTCCGCCCGGGAACAAATTCTAACCACAGTTAAGAAATTATTAGAAATGTACTGCGACGAAGAAATTAGTATTACGATTACAGGCCACAGTCTTGGGAGCGCTTTGGCGATATTAAGTGCTTATGATATAGCTGAAGCTGGTTTGAATGTGATGGAAGACAGTCGGGCGGTGCCGGTTTCGGTGTTTTCGTTCTCAGGGCCGCGGGTGGGGAATGTGAGGTTCAAGGAGAGGATGGAGACGCTGGGGGTGAAGGTGTTGAGGGTGGTGAATGTGAATGATATCGTGCCAAAATCTCCGGGGTTTTTCTTGAACGAGAATGTGTGGCCGGTGTTGATGAAGGTGGCGGGGGGATCGCCATGGAGTTACTCGCATGTGGGAGTTGAGTTGGCGTTGGATCATAAGAACTCTCCGTTCTTGAAACAGACTAATGATCCCGTTTGTGCTCATGATTTGGAGGCTCTCCTGCATTTGCTTGACGGGTTAGTATTCACCATTTGCACCGCTCCATTGTTCAGTTCATATGTTTTACTGATTTTGGCTATAAGGCACCTTACATTCACACTTTGATAATTGAATTTCATTTTTTATTTTCACCAATCCAAATGCATCAGTTTATATTGAAACGCAGATCAGCATGTGGGATGCATAGGGAACTATACAGATGGGTTCTGATAAAAAAAATCAAACTAATTACTAGTACCCTCATGCCATTGAAAGATTGGTTGATGATACTATGGCATTATTAGTTTGTATAGGATGTTGGGATGGCTAGCTGGAAAATCATTTAATAATATGAAACTCTATCGTGTCCCCATGCCATGATCACCAATTGCTTATAGCCAGACCAAACATTCACTGTTAATAATACTAAATAATTGCACCAGTTTCCATTTCACTTCAGGTTACAGCTTATGTCCCCACTCCCCAGCAATTAGCAACTGTTTGATTTTCAGTTTTCTTAATCCAAACAGTTAATAAACTAGTTTTAAAAACAACAAACCAACCAATAGCTGAATCAATACAGCTACTAAATTGGTCTGATTCATTATATGTAGGTGAGCTATCACTATAAGTTAACAGAAACAAGTGAATAAAGAAAAACTTTCTTGGTTGTTTTGAAGTGCTGAAACTGTGGGTGCTGAGTATTAACTGTTTGCTAATGCAATGCAGATACCATGGAAAAGGGCATAGATTTGTGCTGGCAACTGGGAGAGATCCGGCGCTGGTGAACAAGGCGACTGATTTTTTGAAAGATCATTACTTGGTTCCACCGTGTTGGAGGCAAGATGCGAACAAGGGAATGGTGAGGAACTACGAAGGGCGTTGGGTGCAGCCAGAAAGGCCTAAATTAATAGACGATCACCTTCCGGATATTCACACACACCTTAGCAAATTAGGCCTTGGCGCTTCTGATGAGACTCGTGATGACCATGTTTAATTCAAACTTAGTACATTTTGAGTTCTAATTACCTAAATCATTAGTGTAAAATCATCGGATATGTAAATTAATTGCAGTGTTGGCTAGGCCCTCTCCTCTTGGTGAACTTACAAAATCGCTACAACTTATATATTTGACGAAAAAAATATTTAGAATACCGCCGTGATATCACATCATCTATACCATTGTCCAATGAATTTTTGTCATTCACCTCTAAGTTTTTTTTTTTTTTTTTTCCTCATCTATGCTTAAATTTATAATGACATGATAATTATTAAATTCGATAATTATTTGACATGCATTGTTAGGAGATTGGACAACAGAAAACATACCTTCTAAATTAATAATATATAAATAAAATCACACTATACAAAGTGATACGATATTTACGTGGTTCGACATAACTCGTCTACATCTACAGATGAGAGAATTTCGTTATAGTTTCATGAACACGATATATAAGAGTACACAATACTATAAACTCGATATATAATTAACAGAGTGAAAACAATCATAATTTCCAAGACACTCCACTCATGGTATTTAATAACCCTTACACTAAATATTTTGTGTTCTTATATTCTCTTATAAGCTTGAATTGGTTATCACCCATATATTTATAGGTAGGATATGAGATATTTTATCTCTAATAGGATTCATATTTCAATTCCTAATAAGACTCCCATAATTCTATTCTTAATTACAATTATACTCTTTATTAAATGATTTTTCTAAAGACATATAATTTTACATGAAAATAAATAGGAAAACGAGCCACAATATCCCAACATGACAACATGCATATACTAACTTGTGGTATAACATAAATAAATACCATAGTAGTATTATAAACTTCCTCTGTTTTTACGTGAAATATTAAATTTTTTTAATTTTTGTTTACTTTTATAATTAACATGATTGATAATTATTGAATTAAATATTTATAACAAACAAATATTTAATTATAGTAACATTAATATCATATCATGATAGTACCATTATTTAAAACCCAAAATGGAATACATGCGACTTTCAATATATATCTAGCTATGCACAACAAGATGATTTCACATGGAATTATAAAAGAAAAAAATGTATTGATTAGAGTTAGCTAAACATATATAAATAATAAAAATTAAAAGTATTTTTATTGGNGTAAAGACTTAAGTTGTACACACTTTTAATTGATTGGTGCATTCATTTAGCTGAGTTGTTCAATTTAATTCATTGTTGTGTTGTACATCTCATTATTGACCCATAACTACCTCCTTTTATTTTCTATATCATTATTGAGTTATTTTTAAGGTTTCAGAAATTATCAAACAAATACCAATGGAATTCTTTAATTTATTTTTGGTAAAATATGAAATGTATATTATACCTTTATTATAATTTATAATAATCTATTTTTTTCCTTTCCTTTTTCTTTTATTTTTATTTTCTTCCTTTCCCCACTCATTTCTTTTCATTGAACTCTAAATCTGAAAAATATGGTGGCGACCGATACTCGGTTGCTAATGGCAAGGCCATTGCCACAATTATCGATAGCCTTAGCAACAACGCATTCATCACATTTCTTTTTCTTCTTTCATTTTGAAGCTCGACGCTTAAGCCAACCTCAAATCACTATTGTTGATTTTTCACCGTGTTATTTAAGCTTACTTGACTTCGATTTTTTAGACTTTAGAGATTTCGGTTTGGGAATTCATTTTTTATTTTTGATCTGTATTAAAAGAAGATTAATTGATTTTGAATGTGAAATGGATCGTTTAATTTGAATTTTTGGGTTGTTTGTAGAGAAGTGGAATTAATATTAATTCCAATTTTACCTTTACTTATAATGTGAAATTCCCATTTGAACATTCTTTTAATAATTTTTTTGAAACTTTCGAGATAATTTTAACCTAACCCATATTTATTGAAGTTGACTTTTCATATAAATGCTTTCACTGGCTCACTGCAAAGGTTAAAGCCACCATAAATTCCAAAATCAAATAAACGCGGCTGCCTTGATAACAAATATAATTAACAATAAGAATTTGGTCTCCATATCCATTTCATTATATTTTTACTCTTAGCTCTATCAAGTTGTTTGCATCTATTTAATTTCATGTGTGAAGGCAAAGGAGGAAGTGCCAAGTGGTAAGCAGTGGTCCTTTACTTAGATGAATTAAAAAAATAAAATAAAATCATCCTAGATCTTATTTTATAAATTATGCATTTATTACTTTAATTTTTTACATATCTTATGATGTTTTTTTATGGCAAGGAGTCTTAATACAGTTCTAACTTTGATAAATTAATATTCCTGGTATCATGAAAAATTATAATTAATTGATATATTATTTAATCTTATAAATTAATAAATTATTAATTTTCAAGCATTCTTTATTTCCTTTTTCCAAAACATGTGAACTTAATGTCTGTACATATTATGCAGAGTCAATATAGTATAAGGAATAACAGTTAGAAATAACATCATGAACCTAGCTTATAACTAAAAGTTAATATGGTATAGAGACTAGTCTATACTCTATAGGAAATTGTTAGAGATAAGGTTCGAGAAGACATCGATTTCAAGAGGAAACAAGTAACATTGGAGTCATATTTTACAAAGCCCTCTTAATTGAGTCATGCATATATAATTTTGATGTATAAGAAGATTATTAATTTATATATTAAGTGGAACCATGTGTTTTTTTATAAAAAATATTATTTTATAAATTTAGCAAATTATTATTTTGCCACGTTGATCCCAAGTTGAGACCGGCTAAAAACATTATTTAATCGAGATTATTAATTTATTGAATTTATTAAGGTATAACTGTACTTATATTCGGCTAATAAAAGAGTTCAATAAGAAACCAAACAAATTTAGGATCATTTCATTTATTTATTTTTTTAAATGTTGGGATAAAATTTAAGGCTCAATACCCATACAAAGATGGCCTAAAATGAGAAGGAATGCCTAATATTGATCAAACATGTGCTTAGAAACAGTTAGACAACCACCCATTAGGTAAACAAGCTGAAGTTAAGTGATGATTATTGTCCATTTCCTCCATCACATGAGCGATTATAAAGCTCTATAAATTTAAAAAGGGAGAGGCGAAAGGCTAAGATAAAGAGATATGTTGAATAATGAACACACTTTACACCAAAATACTACTCTAATTAATAATTTATACACTTTGATTTATTAATCATTTTACACTTTTTTAAATACATACAGGTGACTTAAATATCAAAAAGGTTATAATGGTGTATTTATACTTTATAGTTTCAGATAAGAGACGTGTTTTTATATACAAAACTTCAGTATATATTATATTTCTCCCAATATGACTAAAAACCTCACTTGTGTTTGCGAAAATGTATTTCTACAAGGCAGCTGCCCCCCTAGCCAGCAATTTAAACAATTATAACCTTTTCATCCATCCAGGTCAAACCTCTGAAATTAACATCACAACAAACAAGAAATTGCACCATGTGTACGAAAGAATGGTGTCCTAAAGAAATTTTGGATCAGTCCACAGAATGTTACATTGCCGCTTCCAACCTCCTTCGCTTCATGTCATCATCAGATGGTTGCTGCCAACAAAATAACGTAACATAAGATGCATTGACAACAACCAAAATCTTTTATTATGGAATTAGGATTATTTCCCAAAATTCGTATAATTTATAGTTATAATATAGATACTCAAGGAGAAGCTCTGTGCTGATAAATAAATCATAATATATTGGTTATTGTCGTTTACAACTTAGAATTTATCTTGTACTACCAAGTATTATCTTTCCTACATCCAAATACAGGTTTTGCATTGAGACAATTTTTTTATTTTACCTGACAAAAGAATGTGGCAAACGAACTCTCTTTGAACCATCGGCTGAACGTTTGAATGCATATTGATTCTCCAAAGGAGCAATACACCATTGACCTGGCTCTGAATGGTCCCAATCATTAACTCTTGACACCCTGAGGCATGCACACTTTCTAACTTGGGGCACTGAAGTAGCAGCGTCTTGAATATGTTGACACAAGTTAGATTAACTCAATCTACGCCATGTGTCAAATTGATCATCAAATTCAAGAGAAAGAGAGGCAACTTCAAGTACTATACCTGGCGTAAGTTTCTACAGGAATTCAAAATCACGATCATTGAGTTCCGGACAGTTTAAAAATAGAGCCTGCATTTAAATACACAAGTTAAGAACCACCAGAGCAAAATATGTAGGTATACACAAATTGAATTTTATATAGATCTTACATCTAATCCAGAGCAACCCCAAGCTTAGTTTTTTTAAGCGGCAATGGTTAATAATCAGCTTCTGGTACATAATATGTAGTTTGTATTGAAGGCACTCGTAACTCAAATTCACTGGCCTCATCAGAGTTTCTGTTTTCAGAATTGGGATCAACATGGACATTCCACAGTCCATGAGTTCGAGAAGAGGTAGTTGTGCTGTAGCAAACTGAATGCCACCGGAGAGTCCAAGCAGCACGATAGTTAGCATAAGTTAAAATGAAAAAGAATACACACGAGACATTATAGAATTAAATTATGCCATCGATTAGAGCCAGGAGCTGGAGATTACTTGAAGTAATGTTAGGACAAAGAGCAAGGAGGAGTCTTGACAGAGTATTGGGAAACACATGCAGATCATTCCAATGCCACTGTCACTGATACTAGACCTGCAATTGAAGTGGTGATATTAAACATACAACCGTAAAGCTTAACTTATGGACACAACTATTATCTAAAGAAGACGGAATAAACAAAATTACCCGCTCAGATCAAGTAAACCAACTTTGAATAGGTTGAAGCAATGGCAGCAAACGATGCATCAGTAATTTCAACCAAGTACAAGTGAAAGCATTCGCAACCCCCTGAATGACAGAACGCTTTAATCAATAATTATCTCTTCAAATAGCATATAAGTGTAACATAAAACCACTAGTTAACTGAACAGGTAAATGAGGTAAGAATGATTGTAATTTCCATATTTTGTCACGAGTGAATGTGCAACATGACTGACAACAACAATTAACAGATAATTGACAAACCTTAAGCTTGCAGCTGTGATGGCAAGCACAACAGCATGAGAAAGTCGAGTGTGATGCAAAGTGTATGTTTTGCAACCTTGGACAATTCCTCACCAACCATCAG